AGGGTTGGGGGGCTCTGGGGACACCAGGATTTTGGGGGTTCCCAATTGTTGTAGGGTTTGGGGCTGTGTGGGGAGTTTTGGGGTGCCCTGAGTTTTGGGGTCCCGCAGACGGGAACGTGGTGGAGCCCCCCACGGCCACCAGAAGGGTTGGGGGGCTCTGGGGACACCAGGATTTGGGGGATTCTCGGCTGCTTTAGGTGAATCCCAGGGTTTGGGGCTGTGTGGGGAGTTTTGGGGTGCCCTGAGTTTTGGGGTCCCGCAGACGGGAACGTGGTGGAGCCCCGCATGGCCGCCAGCTTCGTCCCCGAGCACAAGGCGCCCATGGTGCTGTTCCTGGACCGCGTTTATGGGGTGCAGAGCCAGGAGTTCCTGCTCCACGTGCTGGAAGTGGGGTTCCTGCCCGACATGCGCGCGGCCGCCTCGCTGGACACGGTGAGGGGCACCCCAAAATCCCCCCGGGGCTCCCCAAAACTCCCTACAGGCTCCCTTGGACCTGCAGCAGGGACCTCGGGTCAGCCCTGTTCCCTCCTGTGGGTGGGTGTGGGGTCCCCCAAATTTTCCCTGTTTTTTGGATATGGGAATACCCCAAATCTCTCCCATGGGATGGATTTGGGGTCACCCAAATCTTCCCTCTTTGACCCCCAAATCTCCCTATGGGATGGATTTGGGGTCACCCCAATCTTCCCCCTTTGACCCCCAAATCTCCCCCATGGGATGGATTTGGGGTCACCCCAATCTTCCCCCTTTGACCCCCAAATGTTTCCCATGGGATGGATTTGGGGTCACCTCAATCTTCCCTGTTTGATCCCCAAATCATCCCATGGGATGGATTTGGGGTCACCCCAATCTTCCCTCTTTGACCCCCAAATCTCCCCATGGGATGGATTTGGGGTCACCCCAATCTTCCCCCTTTGACCCCCAAATCTCCCCATGGGATGGATTTGGGGTCACCCCAATTTCTCTGTTTGACCCCCAAATGTTTCCCATGGGATGGATTTGGGGTCACCCCAATCTTCCCTCTTTGACCCCCAAATGTTCCCCATGGGATGGACTTGGGGTCACCCCAATTTCTCTGTTTGACCCCCAAATCCAAATCTCCCCATGGGATGGATTTGGGGTCACCCCAATCTTCCCTCTTTGACCCCCAAATCTCCCTATGGGATGGATTTGGGGTCACTCCAATCTTCCCTGTTTGATCCCCAAATCTCCCTATGGAATGGATTTGGGGTCACCCCAATCTTCCCTCTTTGACCCCCAAATCTCCCCATGGGATGGATTTGGGGTCACCCCAATCTTCCTTGTTCGATCCCCAAATCTCCCCGTGGGATGGATTTGGGGTCACCCCAATCTTCCCTCTTTGACCCCCAAATCTCCCCATGGGATGGACTTGGGGTCACCCCAATCTTCCTTCTTTGATCCCCAAATCTCCCCCACGGGACGGATGCCCAACCTGCCCCCATGGGGTGGCTCTGCCCCACGTCCCCACGTCCCCTCGGGGCATGTCCCCACCCCGTGACCCCCCTGTGCCCCCCAGGCGACGTTCAGCACGACGGAGATGGCGCTGGCGCTGAACCGGTACCTGTGCCTGGCGGTGANTGTCCCCACCCCGTGACCCCCCTGTGCCCCCCAGGCGACGTTCAGCACGACGGAGATGGCGCTGGCGCTGAACCGGTACCTGTGCCTGGCGGTGATGCCGCTCATCACCAAGTGCGCGCCGCTCTTCGCGGGCACCGAGCACCGCGCCATCATGGTGGACTCCATGCTGCACACCATCTACCGCCTGTCGCGCGGCCGCGCCCTCACCAAGGCCCAGCGCGACGCCATCGAGGAGTGCCTCATGGCCCTCTGCAGGTGGGACCCCA